GTTAGAAAATGAGGTTTCAGAGCGCTCGCGCGTCATTCTGATGCAGCTTTGCTAACCAACGCTCTGCTGCCATGTTTGTTTTAGAGAGAAGAGGCTTTCTCCTGCAACCTTTCCAAACTTTTCACATAGTCGAGGTCAGAGTGTGAGCTCTTGGGTTCTGTCAGGTGAAGACTGTCAGGTGTCTGATGATCCTGAGGTTGATGCACAGCTGCAGTCGCCTCCCTGAGATCATTGCTGATGTTTCCTCCCTGTCATTGTGTGGTTGGTCCGATCGGTGACATCATTATAATCTAACATTAGCTGGTGTTGGCGGGACCCTCGCTGTCAGAGGAAGTCAGAGTCTGTTCATATGTTGCCAATGAAACACATTTATTAATAACTCCTGTTGCTGATCTCAGGTCAGCCTGCAGGCCATGAACGCCACGCTGACAGAGCTGAAGTTGGACCAGTGGCAGATGGCTGAGGATGAGCGGGATCAGGACGACCTCCGTCCGCCCACCAACCCTCCACACCAGCTGCTGCCTCCCACGGACGCCTCAGAGCTGTGGGACGCCATCGACCGGCTGGACAACACGGTGGTCAACAACACGGTGAAGGTGAGCCTGCACACATTTGTTCTTGACGTTCAGCACGAGTGTGCTTTCCGACAGTAAGATCAGAACTGAAACAGGAAACGTGTCCCGTGCAGGTGACCGCACTGATGGAGGACGCGGCGGTGACATCGCGCGCCGTCCAGCAGCTGAGTCGGCACGTTAAGGAGCTGGAAAAGCAGATCAACGACACAGCGCGGCGCACCCAGGTGGTGTTCATGGAGACGGGGCTGGAGGTGGAGGACGCCAAAGTGAAGGTGCTGAATCGTGTAAAGGAGCTGGAGGGGAACCTGAGCCAGCAGGTTAAACGACTGGACGATGTCGAGGAGGACATGGACTGCCTGTGGACGATCCCGAACGCCTGCAAGAACAACTCGCGCATCGAATGCAACTGCGAGAGCCTGCAGGCGACCGTGGCTATGCTGCAGAGGGACGTGGCCAACGTGACCGAGCTGGCCAATGAGAACAGATTAGCTCTGGACGAGAACAGCAGGGGAGGGCACTGGGGCACGAGCAGCGACTGGGAGCCGGCGGTAAAGGCGCTCCAACTTGGCCTCCACAGGGTACGAGCGACGAAACTGTAAATAAGAGCAGACACGACTGATAACGATCCAGGTCCACACAGCGTTTCTAAACAGGCTGCTCTCTGTTTCTGTTTGCTCTCCATCCTCCTCCTGCAGGAGCAGAGCAGCATCAGGACTCTGGACCTCGGCCTGACCCACCTGAACGCCTCGGTCTCCGGCCTGAAGCACGCAGACAGACAGCAGGACGCCAAGATAAAGGTGCTGGACACCACCTTCAACATCCTCCTCCAAGACGCCAGCCGACACAGCAGGGTCCTGAAGATGTTGCTGGGAGACGAGGTGATCGACTTCTTGAAGATGATCAGCCTGAGGGAGAAGGACAGGCAGGACCACGAGGACGAGGAGGAGGAGGAGGAGGAGGCTGACTTCATCTCCGTCCAGGCTCTGAAGGAGGACCTGAGGCACCTGCAGGAGCAGCTGAGAGAACACGAGCAGACGATCATCACGCTGAAGCAGGGCCAGACGGGTACGCTTTTACTGTGAAGGGACAGCTGCAGGCAGCTGATGCTTTTATTTTGAATGAGCTATCCTGTCAGGGTTGCCCCCTGCTGGACGTTAGATAAAATGCAGCTTTAAGAAGCTACTTCCTGTTTTTGCTTCGACTCATTTTTGACTCATCTGTTCTCAGGAGGCAGAGAGGAGGTGCCGTCTGCAGACCAGCCTCCCTCCTGGTTGCCCGGCAACCCAAGGAGGGGCGGCGGCGACGCACTTCCTGCTAGGGAGCAGCAGATGGTCTTCCATCCCGGGGATGGCGGTGACCTATGGAACCTGGAGAGGAAGGTGGAGGAGGTGGAGCGCAGGCTATCCCAGCTGGAGGA